AATATGTGAACGAGGGAAGGATGGAAAATACTACCATGCATGCTTCGTTATCAATCTTAAATAGAATACTCAAAATCCTTTCTACATGTTATTTCCTTGTTATGGATTTGGGTTTAGTAATAGGCCTCAAAATGAGACGGCCCATGGGCTCATTTTTTTCTTTGAGAAGAACCTATGGGCCCAGTTAGGCCGGGTATGCTCAACGTGGGGACGACTTACAGACAGAATCTTCTGATGGAATCCCAACAGGCGTAATGATGTCTAGGCCTGTCCATCCGGCCCGGCCCGGAAATCCGGGCCCGGGCCGAGCAAAATCCGACCCGGGTACCCCGGGCCGGGTCCGGGTCCGGGCCTGGGCCCAACCGGGCCGAGCTCCGGGTCGGCCCGGGTTTTTTTCAATTTTTTTCTTTTCTTTTCTTTTTGATAAAAAATGCTAAAAATTAGTTTAAATTTATTAAATTTTATATAATTATGTATTAGTATATACTTATAAATTAGGGAAAAATGTGTCCAGGCCCCAAAAACAGAAACTTCATATGCTACAGCCCCTCCTAGTTTCCCCCATGTGATTCAGCCCCTTGAAGTGTGACATTTTGTGTTGCACCCTCTTTTTAACAATTATTACATGCCAACTAAGCTAAAATCCCCAAAATAACCTTATCCCCTCTCCTCAATCCTTCAAACCCAGTTCTCTCTCTCTCTCTCTCTCTCTCTCTCTCTCTCTCTCTTCCTCGCCCTCCTCGCCGTCGCCACCTCCGCCCAAGCTCCCAAGCCTCCCCCGAGTTCGCCGCCGCGGCCTCCCCTCCTCTCCTCCGCCCGACCTCGTCGCGGTAGCTCGCCGTCGCTCCCCGTCTCGCCCTTTAATACGCCGGTAAAATAATTTGGATTTCTTATAGATGCAGACCTGCAAAAAGTTCCGTGTATCAAAATTTGACTTAATGCCGCTTAACGTCATGTGTTCTATGATAAATTGAGAAATTTTGATTGGTCCTTGAAATGTTACAAAAACTCCCTTCAGTCTTTTCATTATATACCTACAAAAGTATCAGGCAGTCTAAATTGGTTTGTACACATAAGACTAAGTATCAGGCAGTCTAAATTGGTTTGTACAAAAGTATCAGGCAGTCTAAATTTGATGTTGGTATTCTTATCTTTGCTTGGATTTTGTCATGGAGTATAAAATAGAACTAACTTGGTATAAAATAGAACTAACATTGTATAAATTAGAACTAACTTGGTATAAATTAGAACTAACGTGGTATAAATTAGAACTAATTTGTTATAAATTAGAACTAACTTGTTATAAATTAGAACTAATATGGTTAAAATTAGAACTAACGTGGTATAAAATAGAACTAACTTGTTATTAATTAGAACTAACACGGTATAAAATAGAACTAACGTGGTATAAATTAGAACTAACATGGTATAGAATAGAACTAATACTGTGCAGATTAGAACTAACACGCTACAGAATAGAACTAACACTGTGCAGATTAGAACTAACATGCTACAGAATAGAACTAACACTGTGCATATTAGAACTAACTCTATACAAAATAGAACTAACACTGTGCAGATTAGAACTAACACTCTACAGAACAGAACTAACACTGTGCAGA